GAACAGGAACAAGTGAGCTCCAATTCGGAGGTGCACCATCTTTTGCTATGACTGTAAAAGTAATGTCCTTGTTTTCCAGCCCTAATAGGCTTTTTTTTGCAATGATAGTGCCATTGTAAGGATTGATTTGAACTAGATCTTCATCATATTTATCAATAGAATAAGTAACATCAGCATTTTGCCCTTCATCAGCATCATAAGCAAGCACCTGAATGATTGGGGTTCCTTTGCCAAGATTAGACTGGACAGATAAAGTATATTCACTGGCAATAAACAGAGGAGGGTTGTCATTCTCATCCGTCAGAATTATTTTAACTGTGCAGAAAGCTGCCCTACCTCCTCCATCCTTCGCCATAAGTTTGATGGCAATAAGTCTCTCTGTCGCATTCTCCCTGTCTAATTTCCGCAAGGTTGCTATATGGCCATTGTTGTCAATGGAAAACATGTCCAAGGCCAATTTATTAATAATACTGTAATCCACCATTCCATAAGGTCCATCATCAGGATCATTTGCTGCCAACTCAATCACTGTAGTGCCTATTTCTGCATTCTCTGCAAGTTCTACTTCAAATACATCCTGTTGAAATGATGGGGTGTGCTTGTTGGCATGGGTAATATTGATGTACACTGGTACAGTATCCCTGTACACACCATCAGAAGCTGCAACCTGTAGCTGGTAAAATAAATCCAAACTATTTCTACAGAGGTTAGAAAGGGAGATGACTCCAGATGTTCTGTTTAGAGTAAAGTGTCGATGATTGTTACCAGAAAGAATAAGATATTCCAGCTTGCCAGCGTCTATGCTATCCAGGTCAAATGCTTGGACTTTAATAACAATATGTCCACAGTTGGCTAGTTCACTTATATTAGCTTCATAGTGTGTTTCTCTGAACTTTGGAGGATTATCATTTAAATCAGTTACATTGACAATGACAAGCGCGTCTGCATGCAAAGGTGGCAAACCATTATCTGTGGCCCTCACTTTGAACTGAAACTGACGCATAGTTTCATAATCCAACTCTTGGGCTGTTGTGATTTCACCAGTTTTGTGGTTTATATGGAAGAATGCATGGGTTTCCTCTGTGTCGTTTCCTAGGATATGATATGAAACTTCTTGGTTCTTCCCAGAATCTTGATCAGAAGCTTGCAGTTGAATCACTGGTTGATATGGCGGAAGTTTTTCCATGATATGTCCTATGTAGACCATTTGAGAGAAGATCGGTGGGTGATCATTTACATCTTCCACTTTAACTAACACCCGTGCTTCCGAAAAATGACCTGCAGCCGAATCTGTGGCTCTAACAGTTAACAGATGTGTACTTTTTGTCTCATAATCTAGCTGTCCTGTAACACTTAGAGAACCAGTCTTAAAGTCAATGCTAAAAAAAACTAAGAGCTTCATTCTCAACAATATTATAAATAATACGGAATCCTTCCGGGCTGCGAGCCTGAATGTGTAAAACTGGAGTAGAGATAGGTACATTTTCTGGCAAGTTCACTGTGTAATATAGACTTTGGAAAACAGGATTAGATTTGTTTCGGACAATGATGACTACTTCTTCTTGAGCTTGCAAAGAGGGTTGACCATTGTCTCTGACAATCACTTTTAGAACATACTGATTTAAGGCTTCATAATCGAAAGGTTGTCTAAGAATAATATCTCCTAGAGATGGGTCAATCCTGAAATATTTATGGTCATCTTCCAACTGGAAGGTCAGAGCACTGTTTTGTCCAGTATCTTTATCTATAGCTGACACCTGGAAGATGACATCACCAGGTTCCATGCCATCTTCTACAGCCAAATAATATGGAGTATTAATAAATTCTGGAGTATTATCATTGACATCTTCAACATATACTTCAACTTTAGCCTGAGACACCCGTGGTGGATTCCTGCCGTCTTTAGCTTCAACTATTACATCATATTTGCCTTGAATCTCTCTGTCAAATGCTAGACCTTTTGTCTGGAGAACGCCAGAGGATGGACTTATCTGGAAAAGATCTGTATATGTAAGAGCTGAAAAACTAATTGGTTCATTAAGTTGAATTCCAAGCACATCCATTATATTTAACACCATAACACTAGGATCGTTTTCAGTCACCTTTAATGTATACAAAGCCTGATCAAATTTCAAGTTGGTTATTCCGATTTGAGTGACATTAATTTTTATCAGTGCAGTGTCATGGTATATGCCATCCCAAGCTTTTATTGAAAGTTCACGGTCTGACTTCAAGAGAGAGGAATCGTTTAAAACAAGGAAACCAGATTTTGAGTCAATCAAGAATGCATTATCTGTGTTGCCTTCTGAAATGCTGTACATCACTTCGGAATCTGCGTCATTAGCTGCCATAGTTAGGATGTGCATATTATTATAAGCAGGTAAATAAATATTCAGATCATATATGTCTTTTAAAAATTTTGGCGGAGAATCATTTACATTAATCACTTGTATGGTGACCTTTACTGGCTGAGAGGCAAACCGACTTGGCATACCCGAGTCACATACATGCACATCAAAAGAGAATGAAGTTGCTATCTCAAAGTCAAGTTCTGTCACAGTGAACAATGTTCCCATACTTGGATTGATTTTGAAGTATGTAAGAACGTCAGGATCCAGAATTTGGTAACTCAAGATAGCATTTGCTTCAGTGTCATTGTCAGTAGCTTGAATGGTCAGAGGTGTTAAGTCCATACTGGTCACCATGCTGCCTATTGGAGCATCCTCACTAATCTGACCCAGATATATGCTCTTTGAAAAAATTGGGGAGTTGTCATTTTCATCAATGATGTAGATAAAGACAGTTGTTTCACTGTAATATCCAAGAGAGCTGTTGCCACGTATTTTGAGTTGGTAAGCAGAAATGGTCTCAAAATCCAGATTTTTTTCAGTAGTGATAATACCAGAATAGCAGTTAAGGTAAAAGGAACCTTCCTCATTCCCTTCTTTAATATCATAATTAATGGAAGACCAGCTTGTTGCAGACACCATGGTTACAAATGAGCCAATAGGAACTGATTCACTGATTTCCACTACATACTCTCTCAATATAAACTTTGGTGGTGACGTGTCAGAAGGTTTGATTTGTAGGTTAACAGTGGCTATGTCCTGAAACTGTGGTGTCCCCTGATCTACTGCCATGATTGTCAAAGTTATCCAGCTCTTTGTTAGCTGCTCCAGTGTCTTGGCAAAAGTAATCAGGCCAGATGACTCGTCAATATTAAAATATCCTTCACTGTTGCCTGTAAAAAAAAAAAAAAAAAAGAATCAATCAATTATGGATCATACCTGTATAAATAATGGAACCACAAATATTAATCCATAAGTGTTTTTTTTTTAGAGGTATGAGATATTTTCTAACTGTAACAGGGTATCTGCTAATGCTGTCCCTGCCTTCTGAAAAATTCTAGTTGTCCGCCTGTCAAGATGTTCTGGAATAAACTTTTTTTTTTCTTATTTATTATATAGGTTAACATAGTTACTCAGAGGGTGTTCAAGCCATTGGGATATCCTAACAGTCAGACAACTAGCAGGAAAATATAATAAACAAAAAAATGTAGCTCTCTATTTATTAACCCCATACTTTTTATTTTTTCATTAAATGCAAGCAGTGTAAGTACCTGAATTTGACCTTCAATCCCTGCACAGCAGAGCTTACACTAGGGAAGAAAAAAGCAGCATAAGGAGCAAACCATTAGTACTGTAGTCCAATGAGCACACTCTGGTGTTGAGGTGCGACCTGTAAGTGATACTGGATTGCATCAAAGAAACATCAGATATCCTGCCATGCCCGACAGGGCTGTATGTTGTGGTAATCACATAATTTGATGGGAAGAAATACAGATAATTTGGCAGGTAAAACAGCTTCCTTATATGTATTTCACCTGTTTATTAAAGTGATTGTAAAGCCTTTTTGTAATTAAAATAAAAAGATGTTACACTTATCTGCTATGTACAATGGTATTGCACACAGCAGTCTCTTACCTCCTATTCTGGAGTCCCCTGATGGTGCTCTTGGCCCTTTCTTCATATAAGTGCCCCACAGCAAGCTGCTTGCAATGGGGGCACCCGTGTGGGCACGCCCATGAGCCAGGCCATGTCTGTCAATAGACACACACAGCTCAGCCACGCCCCTCTCCCTTCTCACAGGATTTGACCAATAGTGTTTAGGGACAGAGAGGGATGAAACTAAGTACTGGAGTGTTTTTTTTTTTACCTTTATGCATAGAATCCATTACATTTAAAAAAAAAAAGTTAAGCTATTAGAATAACTTTAGGCTATTTGCCTTGAACTCAGCAGTGATATTGTCAGCTGTGCTCAAAGTGTATTTAGGAACATAGAAAATAAACCAAAATCGCTGCTTTGAACTGTGGAAGAGAACATATGAGTGACACCGCATCACCGCAAACAAACCTGTGGCAATCTGACTTGAAGGCTTCAACAGATACATATTATGTTAAAAGACTGGAATGTTGAGTCAACACATAGACTGCTCATTTATCACTCAGTGTAAATACTTTCCCGTGCACATAAATTCATTTGTATCAATCAAGAAAGATTGTTACTTATCCAGTCTGACAAACTATAGGTTTAATCTTTCCAGTGGAAGTAGAACCAGTTACTTTTAAAGCGGCACTAATAGGCTTACATCTACTTTCTCACTTTTGTGGTCAGAGATTTAGAATATGTTTTTGTAAGAAGTGACACTAATTATAATTTTATTCTAAAGACAATATGACTACAATGGGTTGAAAAATTGTTTTCAAAGCTTACTGCACCATTCACACAGACGTGAAATTTTACATTAGTAGGCTACAAACCAAATAATACAAGAAAAATAGTGCAGCGTTTCTGCCAGATTCAATATGCAAGAGAAAGTCTGGGATCTACTTGTTGGACCTACATCCAGGGGCGGACTGACAACTCATGGGGCCCCCGGGCAATAGGGGATCATGGGGCTCCTGTGTCCTTGCCCAAACTCAAAAAAGCCTATGCAAAAGGTACCAGGGGCATCTCATGGGGCCCCCTACTGACCCCGGGCCCTCGGGCAGTGCCCGAGTTTACAAAGGGTCAGTCCGCCCCTGCCTACATCTATCAAACTATGGGGGTGATTTACCAAAGGCAAATAGACTGTGCACTCTGCAAGGGCATTTGCTGCAGAGCTTAGTAAATGAGGTGATGCTTCACTTTGCAAAGAATACCCAATCACATGCTAGGAAACAAAAACAAAAAAACAAATTTTTGCTTGCACATAATTGGATAAAGTCAGCAAAGCTTCACCTCATTTACTAAGTTCTGCCCTTGCAGAGTACGACTGCATTTACAAAGTGCAGTTGTCTTTAGTAAATCACCCCTCAGTGTGCCATTATTACAACACTGGAAATGTCATTATTACGACACTGGAAGTTCCATTATTACGTCACTTGAAGTGTCCACACATAATAAAGGCTACAGAAGACCTCATGAAACAGAGGATTGAGAATTAGCAGACCATATAAAACTCTCCAGCCCATATTTGTGTTTGTCCAAAATTTTTAAAGGTTCATCGCAACAATAATGTTTAAAAAAGAACCTGTACTTTGGAAGCCCAAAAAAGGCAAGCAAAGGGCAAAGAACTAGCCAGCAGAGATGTCTGTAGGCTCCCCGCAGTTGACTGATTCCCTGTTACTGACTTACTACCCTTGTTCCACTTTCTGTCAATGTGTAAGGGAAGCCATCTTTCACAGTAAAAGTCTCCCTCAAGAGTTGGTTCTGGCCAGCTCAGTGGATTGTTTTAAAAAAGTCCTGGAATCTTTCCTAGATACACAGAATATAACTGGATACTAACATTTATAGGTAAAGTTGATCCAGGGAATATCCGATTGCCTCTCGGGGGATCAGGAAGGAATTTTTTCCCTGCAGGAGCAAATTGCATCATGCTTTTCTGTGTTTTTTTGCCTTCCTTTGGATCAACTGTGGGTGTAGGATTTTAACTTGTTTTTTTTGTTTTTTATTATGGTTGAACTAGATGGACCTTTGTCTTTTTTCAGCCAGACTAACTATGTAACTATCTTGCTAGGCGTAAGGGCTTTGCTTCCTGTTCCGCGGATAACTGGTAATCTGATCACTGATGGTGGAATATTCAGGTAGTGGAGGAGAGGTGGAAGATCCTAAAACTGAAAGAAGCATTGAGATCCTTGCCCTGCAGCTTCCTCACTAGTAAGGAGGACAGTGAACAGCACAGTAGTGACATCACTCTTAAGAACCTAAATGAGAGCACACAGTGCCTTAGATATATTGCTTATACACAGCTATGAGTCTCACAGTACAAGTGTGGCTAGGAATTTAATACAGTCTTTTAAGGTACGGCACAAATAACATTCCTAGATTATCCCTGTAAGTAAGCAAACTTTCATTTGATGCCTTTAAATCCATTTTAAGTAATAATTTCACTGCCCAATATAGCATCAAAATGATCTAAGTGAATAGGCCACTGTAAGCTATAAGGTTTTATAAACAGTGTGCTGCAGTAGGTCTATCAGTCTGCTCCTTACTGGCATACATGGAAGAATATGAACGGCAAATAATTCTTTAAAGTGAACCCGTGGCTGGCTATGAACATTCAATTACTTTCATATTCTTTTCATGCTGTAAATTATCTCTAAAATAAATCCTGTCCGACCTCTGTAGCTGAAGTCACTGTGGGGAAATTTATCCTTAAAGGATAAGTTTACCTTTCATAACGTTACACCCATATTCAGGGTGTAACATGTTACAAACAGACCAGCTCCTCCCTGCTCCTCGCTGTGACAGCTAGTGGGGGATCTTCTCCTCCCTGCCAGCTGTCACAATTTAAAAAAACCACGGCCGTGCGGGGCTCCGCCCCCACACAGCTGCGTCATTCATTGACGGTGTTCTGTGAATGAATGAACTACAAGTCTCCACAGCCTTAGCGGCTGAACTACCATGGTGCCATGGAGCGCAGTGGCAGTTCATTGATTCTTCCTGTCAGTATATCTGCTAGCTCATACATCCTGTACGGGCATCTCTAAAATAAATCCTTTCCGACCTCTGTAGCTGAAGTCACTGTGGGGAAATTTATCCTTAAAGGATACGTTCACCTTTCATAACATGTTACACCCATATTCAGGGTGTAACATTGTACGAACAGACGAGCTCCTCCCTGCTCCTCGTTGTGCCAGCTAGTGGGGGATCTTCTCCTCCCTGCCAGCTGTCACAATTTAAAAAAACCACGGCCATGCGGGCCTCCGCCCACACAGCTGCGTCATTCATTGACGGTGTTCTGTGAATGAATGAAATACAAGTTCCGACAGCCTTAGTGGCTGAACTGCTATGGTGCCATGGAGCGCAGTGGCAGTTCATTGATTCTTCCTGTCAGTATATCTGCTAGCTCATACATCCTGTACGGGCAAGCAGATACACTGACAGGTTTGCAGGAGACCTGCATGGCACCAGTGATCTGCTGATCACTCGTGCAATGCTTTAGAAACTTCAGAAACAAAAAATAATACCTGCAAAAAAATATGCATTTATGATTTTTTGTAAAAAAGGTGAACCTATCTTTTAAAGTTCACAGCTCAGTTCACCTTGCTCCCACCTTCCAAAGTACCTTCTCTGCTGAAATGGGAAGCAGGCTAAGCTGAGCAAATGAGAGAAGGATGAGGATTAGAGATGAGCGAAGTATTCAAAAATTCGATTCGGCTGATTCGGCGAATTCGAGGAATAAATTCGATTCGAGTCGAATATATTCGCTGCGAATTTAACTTATAAAAAGGGTGTTTCTAGGCTTCAGAGAGCCTTTATATTAGTGCAGAACACTGTACCTTTAATTTAAATGCCCTTGGACTCTGCTGGGGAAGAGAAATAATACTGTCAGTCAGTATGACATGCAGATGAGTGCCGTTGATCTTAGAATCACCGCACACTTCACTCATTTGGGCAGTCACGGGGCCAAAACCAGAGTGTGGAGCCACAGTGTGGCGGTGGAGGCAGCAGCAATGGGAGGCCATACAGCACCCTATGACAAAATGGAACCCACCAGCAGTGTGAGGAGACCTGAAAGTGGCACATGGCAGAGAGTGGCGATGGAGACAGCAGCAATGGGAGGCCGTACAGGGACCCATGACACACTCTGGACCTGGCAGCAGCATGAGGAGGCGGTACAGGGGCCCATGACAGATTACGGGCCTGGCAGCAGCATGAGGAGTCGGTACGGGGGCCCATGGCAGATTACGGGCCTGGCAGCAGCAATGGGAGGCCCGTAATCTGCCAGCACCCTATGACAAAATGGAACCCACCAGCAGTGTGAGGAGACCTGAAAGTGGCACATGGCAGAGTGTGGCGATGGAGACAGCAGCAATGGGAGGCCGTACAGGGACCCATGAGACACTCTGGACCTGGCAGCAGCATGAGGAGGCGGTACAGGGGCCCATGACAGATTACGGGCCTGGCAGCAGCATGAGGAGTCGGTACGGGGGCCCATGGCAGATTACGGGCCTGGCAGCAGCAATGGGAGGCCCGTAATCTGCCAGCACCCTATGACAAAATGGAACCCACCAGCAGTGTGAGGAGACCTGAAAGTGGCACATGGCAGAGTGTGGCGATGGAGACAGCAGCAATGGGAGACCGTACAGGGACCCATGACACACTCTGGACCTGGCAGCAGCATGAGGAGGCGGTACAGGGGCCCATGGCAGATTACGGGCCTGGCAGCAGCAATGGGAGGCCCATAATCTGCCAGCACCCTATGACAAAATGGACCCCACCAGCAGTGTGAGGAGACCTGAAAGTGGCACATGGCAGAGTGTGGCGATGGAGACAGCAGCAATGGGAGGCCGTACAGGGACCCATGACAGATTACGGGCCTGGCAGCAGCATGAGGAGGCGGTACAGGGGCCCATGACAGATTACGGGCCTGGCAGCAGCAATGGGAGGCCCGTAATCTGCCAGCACCCTATGACAAAATGGAACCCACCAGCAGTGTGAGGAGACCTGAAAGTGGCACATGGCAGAGTGCGGCGATGGAGACAGCAGCAATGGGAGGCCGTACAGGGACCCATGACAGATTACGGGCCTGGCAGCAGCATGAGGAGGCGGTACAGGGGCCCATGACAGATTACGGGCCTGGCAGCAGCAATGGGAGGCCCGTAATCTGCCAGCACCCTATGACAAAATGGAACCCACCAGCAGTGTGAGGAGACCTGAAAGTGGCACATGGCAGAGTGTGGCGATGGAGACAGCAGCAATGGGAGGCCGTACAGGGACCCATGACACACTCTGGACCTGGCAGCAGCATGAGGAGGCGGTACAGGGGCCCATGGCAGATTACGGGCCTGGCAGCAGCAATGGGAGGCCCGTAATCTGCCAGCACCCTATGACAAAATGGAACCCACCAGCAGTGTGAGGAGACCTGAAAGTGGCACATGGCAGAGTGTGGCGATGGAGACATGGGCCCCCTGGCCACGCTTGACTTTCTGGCCACATAGTCGACATACGGCTACGTTTACTTCCTCGGGCAGCTTGACGAAAAATTGCCACACCGCCGAGTAGGAAACTTTGCCCCCGCTACTCCTCACTGGCTGACTGCTACTTTCTCCGTGCACACCGGCACCACTACTGGCCGTGGTGGTAGGCTGCAGTGGAGCTGGTGCTCTACTCCGTGGCCGTTTGCCTCCACTGACACTGCTGCGACCCTGCTGCCTCCTGGGCAACCCACCGACTGTTTTGCTCGCTGCCAAGCTGGCACCCTCTTCTCCTGATGATGCGGAAGCAATAGCCTGATGACGACGAGGCTGCCAAGTGCGATCAGCCTCATCATCATCAATTAGGGTCTCCGCCTCACTACTAGCCCCCTCGGCTGCGTGTGGGTCAGGAGACAGACCTGTCTCTAGACCGGCTACCGAGCCACTCTCCTCGCCAGTACTTCTTCGCCTGGCTGCTGAAGATGCGGATGTCTCCCCCCGTTCCTGACCGCCCTCTGTTAGCTCTTCCTCACTGTACAGTGGGGCTGAGCCCACAGCATGCGAAGGACAGGGGCAGGTAGAGGACACGTGATTTCAGTGGGCTTGCTCCCGGGCCATGCCAACTAACGGTTGTGTCTGACGTACCCACCGACCGTTGGCTGTAGGTGTCAGAGGTGACCTGGGAAGAGGAAGACGACCGAGCCAACCAATCGATGACGGCAGGGTTGTCGGTGGAGACACGACCGCTGGATGACACCGGGAGCACTGGCCTCTGGCTGCGACTAGTGCTGCCTCGACCCCTTCCTCTGCTGCCACGTCTGCTCGCTCCTGAAACATTGCCTCCTCTGCCACTCCTCTGCGTGTTGTCTGACATACTCTTTAATTCAACGATTCTGTGTCCCTGAGTAACGATTCTGTGTCCCTGAGTAACAATTCTGTGTCTGTCCCTGAGTAACAATTCTGTGTCCCTCAGTAACAATTCTGTGTCTGTCCCTGAGTAACAATTCTGTGTCCCTCAGTAACAATTCTGTGTCCCTCAGTAACAATTCTGTGTCTGTCCGTGAGTAACAATTCTGTGTCCCTGAGTAACAGTTCTGTGTCCCTGAGTAACAATTCTGTGTCCCTGAGTAACAATTCTGTGTCCCTGAGTAACAGTTCTGTGTCCCTGAGTAACAATTCTGTGTCCCTCAGTAACAATTCTGTGTCCCTCAGTAACAATTCTGTGTCCCTCAGTAACAATTCTGTGTCTGTCCCTGAGTAACAATTCTGTGTCCCTGAGTAACAGTTCTGTGTCCCTGAGTAACAATTCTGTGTCCCTGAGTAACAGTTCTGTGTCCCTGAGTAACAATTCTGTGTCCCTGAGTACAACAATTCTGTGTCCCTCAGCAACAATTCTGTGTTCCTGAGTAACAGTTCTGTGTCCCTGAGTAACAATTCTGTGTCCCTGAGTAACAATTCTGTGTCCCTCAGTAACAATTCTGTGTCTGTCCCTGAGTAACAATTCTGTGTCCCTGAGTAACAGTTTTGTGTCCCTGAGTAACAATTCTGTGTCCCTGAGTAACAGTTCTGTGTCCCTGAGTAACAATTCTGTGTTCCTGAGTAACAGTTCTGTGTCCCTGAGTAACAATTCTGTGTCCCTGAGTAACAATTCTGTGTCCCTCAGTAACAATTCTGTGTCCCTCAGTAACAATTCTGTGTCTGTCCCTGAGTAACAATTCTGTGTCCCTGAGTAACAGTTCTGTGTCCCTGAGTAACAATTCTGTGTCCCTGAGTAACAATTCTGTGTCCCTCAGTAACAATTCTGTGTCTGTCCCTGAGTAACAATTCTGTATCCCTGAGTAACAGTTCTGTGTCCCTGAGTAACAATTCTGTGTCCCTGAGTAACAATTCTGTGTCCCTCAGTAACAATTCTGTGTCCCTCAGTAACAATTCTGTGTCTGTCCCTGAGTAACAATTCTGTGTCCCTGAGTAACAGTTCTGTGTCCCTGAGTAACAATTCTGTGTCCCTGAGTAACAATTCTGTGTCCCTCAGTAACAATTCTGTGTCCCTCAGTAACAATTCTGTGTCTGTCCCTCAGTAACAATTCTGTGTCCCTCAGTAACAATTCTGTGTCCCTCAGTAACAATTCTGTGTCTGTCCCTCAGTAACAATTCTGTGTCCCTGAGTAACAGTTCTGTGTCCCTGAGTAACAATTCTGTGTCCCTGAGTAACAGTTCTGTGTCCCTGAGTAACAATTCTGTGTCCCTCAGTAACAATTCTGTGTCCCTCAGTAACAATTCTGTGTCCCTCAGTAACAATTCTGTGTCTGTCCCTGAGTAACAATTCTGTGTCCCTCAGTAACAATTCTGTGTCCCTCAGTAACAATTCTGTGTCTGTCCCTGAGTAACAATTCTGTGTCCCTGAGTAACAGTTCTGTGTCCCTGAGTAACAATTCTGTGTCCCTGAGTAACAATTCTGTGTCCCTCAGTAACAATTCTGTGTCCCTCAGTAACAATTCTATGTCCCTCAGTAACAATTCTGTGTCTGTCCCTCAGTAACAATTCTGTGTCCCTCAGTAACAATTCTGTGTCTGTCCCTGAGTAACAATTCTGTGTCCCTGAGTAACAGTTCTGTGTCCCTGAGTAACAATTCTGTGTCCCTGAGTAACAGTTATGTGTCCCTGAGTAACAATTCTGTGTCCCTGAGTAACAATTCTGTGTCCCTCAGTAACAATTCTGTGTCCCTCAGTAACAATTCTGTGTCCCTCAGTAACAATTCTGTGTCTGTCCCTGAGTAACAATTCTGTGTCCCTCAGTAACAATTCTGTGTCTGTCCCTGAGTAACAATTCTGTGTCCCTGAGTAACAGTTCTGTGTCCCTGAGTAACAGTTCTGTGTCCCTGAGTAACAATTCTGTGTCCCTGAGTAACAGTTCTGTGTCCCTGAGTAACAATTCTGTGTCCCTGAGTAACAATTCTGTGTCCCTCAGTAACAATTCTGTGTCCCTGAGTAACAATTCTGTGTCTGTCCCTGAGTAACAATTCTGTGTCCCTCAGTAACAATTCTGTGTCCCTCAGTAACAATTCTGTGTCCCTCAGTAACAATTCTGTGTCTGTCCCTGAGTAACAATTCTGTGTCCCTGAGTAACAGTTCTGTGTCCCTGAGTAACAATTCTGTGTCCCTAAGTAACGATTCTGTGGCCCTAAAGTCTCTTTGGCCCTAACTCTGTCCCTAATACAGAGAGGTCTGTCTCTCTTGAATGACCCGAGGCTAATGGAGAATTCTAAGATGGCCGCAATTTATAGCTCGACCATTACACAGTGCTGGCTGGCTGCTGATTGGCTAATGCGATCACATGTCATGAATGAATGCATTATGGGTCAGCGCGCGCCTTGTCTGCGCACCTTCCCAGAGATCCCCGCTCCGTCGCCACACATGTCGCCGCCATTTTTGGAAAATTTCGATTCGCGCATCCGAAGTCTGCTAATTTTCGGATTCGGCGCGAATCAAATTTTTCCTAATCTTCGAAACGAATTCCACTTCGCCAAGTTCGATTCGCTCATCTCTAATGAGGATGCCTTCAGTGTTTCTGATGTGAACTTTGAGGATGAATTACTCCACAGTGCCTTCAGCTACAGAGGTTAGTAAGTTCTTGATTTAAAGATAATTTACTGCTTGCAATAAATAAATAAATATTTGAATGTTCATAGCCTAGTTAACAGCTGATTCACAGGAAGCAGGATCTCTTTCTGCTATTCCTGCTATACCTTAACAATGGATTCATATATTAGAAATGTGCTTCCAAATGGTACATCAACATAAAGGTATACTTATTAGAAACCATCCATGCTATGTAAGAATACAGTACCAAGAAAGGAAGGCCACACACACCGATGATGTAATTGGTTTCCAAAGGGTGAATCAGAGTTGTGTAGAGAAAATATTAATTAAGAAAGTCTCAAGTGTGAATTAAAGTGATCCCAAGAGGCAATGATAGTGCCATCAAGTGTGGATCACAGGATTCTCAAGCATGGTGCGGATTATACCAGTGTTTAAGTAGATCACAGTGACCTCAGAAGTGTTAGTCTCACCTGACTGAATAAAATACTGGATCTTTGCATTGAGCCCCTGGTCTTTATCCGTAGCCTGGACTCTTAGCACTTCAGATCCGGCAGAAGCTGAGTCAGAAACACTTCCTTCATAAACAGGGTGAATGAAGTGAGGTGAATGGTCATTGATGTCCTGTACCTGAATGGTAATCCTCACAAAATTCCTTTTGATTTGAACTTCCTGATCACGAACCTAAATGGTAAAAATTTAAAAAGAGTTGCATATTGTCAGTTTATTTCACAATTACTTAAAGTGGAAATACAGGAAAAACATTTTTTAGGTGTGTGAGGGTTATAATTGACAATTTTTTTTGTCATCTGTGTCTCATTGTGGAGATTTCTCTTCACTTGCTGTCCCATAGCCAAAACAAGAAATTAAAGGAAACCCCTCCATAGGGATGATAATGTTTAAACAGGACAAATATCAAGCATGAATCTCCTTAGCGAAGGTACAAACAAAAAAAAAAAAACAGATACGTGTTCTAATCCCTTTTCCACTCTGTCCAAAATGTTTTAAAAGTTTTGCCCTTAATTATACTCTAAAGCGCTATTAGACCCAAAATAAACATTTATTAAATTGCAGCTTACCAATTTTTAGATGGGATGGTTGTATTTAAATCTTTATCCCAATAAGAAAAAAACAGTTGTAACTGATTTTAAAGTATTAGTTAGCGTTCAGCTTCAATTTGATAGTGTACCTAAATAAGTTAGTAAATATGCTGTCTAAATCTATCCCCATGCTCAGTCATCCCGAGTGGGGTCTGTATAACACAGGCACTGTGTTACTGGTCAGATCACCATGGGAAAACAGAGGGGAAAAATCCTTAAAAAAAGAAAACAAATGCACCCACCACATCTAATGATTGGTAAGCTACAACATATTACGTTTTTGGTTTTGGGTTTTTTATAGCTTTAAATACTGTCAATCTATAGGTAATGTGCTATAACTGCCTACAACCAGTTGGATAATACATGTTGCACAGCGTTTGTAAAATGAAAGTATTTAATGAATAATGTCTATACCATCCTTGAACAGCTGCCAACAGTCTATAATTTGGAGGGTCTGTCCCTATTTTGGAACCTCTTTTTGGTCTGATGTGTAAACCTCTATAAAAATTTATTACCCAACTACCAAAATAGCTGTACAGGCAGTCCCTGAGTTACAAAAACATTCAAGGTATATACAACTCGTACTTAGGAATGGAGGCAGCGTGACATCATGGTGGTGAAAATGACATCTAAAAAAAAAAAAAAAAAACAGCATGATGGTCCCTGCTAACCCTTTAGGTCTGGTAGGAAGGTTAGGAGGGACCCCACAGTATTTTTTTTCTTTTAAAGGCCTGGTAGGACTTTTAAGGGGAACCCTACCTTTCAAAAATGGGTGAAAAAGTACATGGTGATCCCCTTAAAGCACCTTTTCCCCATGTTTTTGACAAGTCCTTTATTTTAAAAAAATGGTTCAATCATTGTAATCCATCATCAATCATGGCGTCCAGCGTTGTCATGTAGACGCCTACTTGCCAAAATAAAAAAGGCCCCGATACTCGCAGACCCATCCGCACTTGCTGAGCATTTGCCGCTATCTGACATTTACAAGTCAAAAGTAAACAATTGGGCGGAACTAGTGGTGACGCCACCGCCAGCTCCATCCAATTTTTCTGTGATTGGCCAAAGCATTGCACCTGACCTGCTTTGGCCAATTGCAATGCCCTGTCAGAGCACAGTGCATTGTGGGGCTAGGTGGGTGAATAGCACATCGAACGCCCTTACTGCTCATGTGATCACCGTAACATCAAACCCATCACTACTCACTACTCCAATACTTTGATTCATTTTTGTTGGTAACTTTATACATGTTGTGAGGATATTTGTATTTTTGAAAAGCCAGTATAAAGGAAGTTGTGGTGGGAAAAAAAAACCTTGTTGGCTTAACCAATCATTTTTTGCATTTTATTTCTCTATTGTCCACATAACTGGGGTTGTTGCAGGGAGTGCCTACATACTAAAAGATGCCTCCCTCCTTTCTCATCTGAGAGAGTTGGCAAGTATGCCCTCACTTGTACACATTTCCAGAAATCGAAGGATTAAATATTCCATCCAGTAAACACAAAGAGACAAGTATTAATTAGCTATAAATTAGCATATCAAAATGTAACTCCGTCATGTTTACGTGGGTGCTAGAGGGTTCAGTCTCCTTCACCACAGTTGTAGCTTTTGTTTTAAAGATTCCGGAGTCATTTGCTAAAAGCAAAGTACATACCATGATAGTTAAAATATGAATGGGCACTGTCTCATAGTCCATAGTCTCTGTGGTGAACAGGACACCAGAATTAGGATCCATCCTGAACATCTTAGCGCTTCTTGGGTCTGCGCTACCTTGGATTGTGTAGATTAATCTGTTTCCACTATCTTGATCTGTTGCGGTAACTTTGATCACTTCAGAGCCTAGCTGAACATCTTCCAGAATCTGAACAGTATAGTGATCTCTTTGAAACTCTGGACGGTGATGATTGTATGGTACAACGGAGATATAAACCTGTAACAGAAATGAATGATGAAATGTAAATCTAGTCACACAGAACACTCTGATTATACAATCTCAGATTGGATGTCATGTTGACTACTAGGTAGTGTGAGGGCCTTCCCAAACAATACATTCAATTTCTATCCAATCAGGTACTTGAAGCTAAGGTGAATATGTGGTGCTGGGGAGGAGGACATTAAAACAAACTTGTTGCTTTGCAGTGCATTGCACCCTCACAAGATTAAAACTCTGAATGAATCACAGCATTTGCATATTAGGGCTAATTCTAATTTATAACTAGTGCAAAGATCCTTAAGACATTGGTGAAATTTTTTTTAGGTGAAATCTTCATGATATTAATAGAGAAGAAAACTTATTAAGGGGGGTCTATGGAAGGTTTATTTTACAACTATGGTTTTTAAGTAGCTGGCAAGCAGACTGGCCAGGATCCGATGTAAAGGATAGATTTAATGTGAAAGATGGATGGAGAAAGGTGTGTGGGGGCTTAAGGGGCCCTAGTGGGGACACTGTGGGGTCAAGGAGAGAGAATACTTGTTGCAATTTATCTATATTCTGCACAATAATTATTATCACCGTCTTTTTCCTTAACATAAGGATTTGTTTGCATAATTTGGACATTATATATCTGGTTGACAGCAGCTTTTGGACTTGTTTTGTGGATAATTAGCGCAGGTGTGCTATAATATTACATTATATTATATTATTTAGGCAATAAATCCACAAAAGGCAGCATGTAATCCCGTACAGTCCATGATCTGATAATAGTTCATAAAAGGCAGTAAATCCAGAATTGGCAGCTGTAAGTCCATGTACGGTTCCAAAACCCATAGGGAACCCCGACTGGGTCCCCCAGATGGGGGCTCAGTCCGACAGAGTAACAGCTACATCTTGAAGGACAGATCTTTTTCCTTAAGATAAGTATATGTTTGCATAATTTGGACATTATAACGTATGACTTGCAGGGGGTGGTGACCTTCTAAAAAAAAAGCGGGCAAACCCGGCCAATGGCATTACCATTTCCTTTTCAGAAGCACCAACTTAGCAGGTCAACCAAGGACAAATGCTGATACATTGTAACATTTAGTCGGTACATATAACACAGTTAACCCGAATAGCCCCAAAACATGAACACAACACCAGAAAAACGTTTAACCTGCTTACAGGCATACAGAAGAAAGGTAAAAAGCATAAAAACCCCTTCAAAAGCTGGCAACTGACATAGACAAAGCAGTATGATGCAGAAAAGCAATAGCTCATGAATGGTTGAAGGTATCACAGAAAATTGGAATTGGAAATAGCACCAACTTTACTTTTAGCTACTGAAATTATAGTTTGTTACAAGAAATCTGCAATGATTAAAATAAGAAAGATACTATTGCTGACCTCTCCTTAAAGAGAAACTCAACTGATAGAAATGCAAGGGTTGCCACTGCTGTTCTCCCCTTCAAAAAGGAACCTGTGAGAAGTGCAGGAGACCAAGGAGATTAACACTTCTGAAAAAATTGAATGGCCAGAAGATGTCAGGAGACAGGAACCAGTAAATATAGAAGTGTTCTGGGGCTGTGTAAGTAATGGTAATAGTGGCTGCACAGTTATTGCTGGTCAGTGACTTAGGAAGTACTGAAGACCTCCGATCAGCATGACGATCAGGCAACTTGTGTTTTTCAATACATATTTCTATCAGTACAGGTTTCCTTTAGGACCACTGAAAGCTACCAAGTAATTGTAGAAGAATATAGTTTACATACTCAGATTCTTCCCTGCCTCAATAAAGATTCCACAAATGCAATCCTTTGATCCCAATCCTAATACATTCTTCCTGGGCACTGTCTTTTCAGAATCAGTACCTGAGTCCCCAGGTGGATGCAAAAACTAGCACTGTTTTATTATAGTTAACAAAATAGTCATTAGCATTTTTAAGCATACCATATGATGCCATCTAAGAAAATTAAAAGATACTCTAGGTGGTATGCTCAGCTAAAAATCAACCCCCACCTGTATCCTTTTTCCTTTGTTCTAAAGTTTTGGGAGTTAATAATGTAAGTGTGAATTCTCTCTGTGTTTATGCCTACCTAATCTATACCCTGTAATATTTCATTTTGTTTGGCCAACTGGTATATTTTCTCAACCCCTTTTGTTGCCCAAATAAACATTTTTTATGCTAAAAAAATATCAAAAGCTGGGCAATTTGTTTTCCACTTAACATAATGATAATTTTACATGATATGTACAGTATGTCGTCACCTTCTATCTCCAACTTCACAAAAATAACACATTTTCTCCAGAGGGGCTGGTCTACTAAAGCTGGCAAAATAGTCAAGCCACCACTTAAAGCATTCAAACAGTTCTCTTTTTTTTTGCATCATTTATCATTTGTCAACCTCAATGCTGTTTACATAATCTTGGCTGCCTAAATACATTTTTGTAAATAATGATAATAAAGAGAACGTCTGCACTGAATTTAAGCACGATCAGGTCATGAAAGAAGAAAAGAAAAAGCATAAAAAGTAAATTGAGAAAAAAAAGATCCAAGAAAGATATGTTTTACAACAGTTTACTCCTGACAGTGTATAAATATCAAGATAAAACCAACTTTAACAATGGGAATAAAAGATTCTGCTTGACTCAGTGGTTTGACAAAAGGATCCAATGTGTAATTATCTGATGGAGCATGGAGAATGCATGCATACATTTTAAGTATTTGACTTTGATTTGGTTCCTTAAGCATTAGGATGGTGGCTAATTTATCAAACTTAACATGTATAGCAAAGACAAGTATATGTGCTAACAGTAGACAGCCAGATATTCCCTAAACTATCAAAGGTTACAGAAACAAAAGGCTTGCGTTTTAGAGGAATTAGGGATCGAAAAGAACTGTGCTCACGTATATCATAACAGCTAGTACAGAAGGAGGAACATTTGCATCTGTCTTCTGTCATTTAGCTTTGTACACTATAACTGTCACGTAAAGGCTTTGTATAAAATTTAGGCTATTGAAGCGTAGCTAACAACTACAGAAAATATCCAGCTCATTTGTACATGAAGTCCACCATGATACAGGTACTTTCCAGCTAATGAATTCTGTACTGACTTTAAAAGATGGCAAAGAGGAAGGCAAGGTGTGATGGTCGTGGGGGGACAATTAGTCAGCTGCATGGTTACAAGGTCCCAGACCACACATGCTTGCCAGTTCAGTTCAGATGAGCTCTAATGGACACACGAGCATCACCAGGGATCACCAGGAGCAGCCCTGTGAATTTCCTCAGTCCAGACAGGGGATAACCCGGAGAAGTTTTTGTGATATTTCTCAGCCCAGGCCAGTGATCACCAGGAGCAGCCTTTGTGATATTCCTCAGTCCAGGCCAGGTATCAGCAGAAGAAGCCTCTGTAGCTTTTCTCAGGTCAGGTAGGAGATTGCCCTGAACAGCCTTTCTGGCATGCCCTAGATGAGACAGGGGATCACTATTAACAGTCTCTGTGGCATTTCTTGGTCAACCTCGGTGATTGTAAGGAGTTGTATTCTTTGGCATTTCTTTAGGCTAGGCTAGGAATCACCAGGAGCATTCTCTCTTGTATTCCTCAGTCCATACTGGGAATCACCAGGTACAGCCTTTTTTGCATTTCATGGTTCTGGCCAGGAATCACTAAGAAAAGCTTCTATGGCATTGCTCAGGCATGCCCTGAGCCCATATGGCAAATTGAGTCCTTTACTCTATCCTTATGACCATATCTACCACAAACTATTAAAATGAGAAGGCACCCATACAGAACAGCTGGACAGTTCCATAAGCTTTCAAACTTTGCATGTTGCAAAGGAGTTGTTGGGAAAATATTTTGAGCAGCAATCTTTGCATGTTTCACTCTTTAGTGGAAAAACTTAAAGACTTCCCAAGTAACCTCAAATCCTTATTATGTAAATAAATACAGGCTGATAAAATAAACACTGCTTTAAAAAAAAATTAAAGGAACACTTTGAAAACACATCAGATCTCAATGGGGAAAAATATTATGCTGGATATCTATACTGATATGGACTGGGTAATGTGTTAGGAATGGAAGGAAATTATCAACCTACAGAGGATTGAATTCAAAGACACACCAAAAATCAAAGTGAAAAAATGATGCAGCAGGCTCGTCCATTTTGCTGAAAATTCATTACACTTACTCAAAATGGTATTCAGTAGTCTGTATGGGCACCACGAGCTTGTATACATGCATGACAATGTCAGGGTGCCTGGCAGTCAGGGTGCCATTGTCTAGCCTGTAGAAGTCTGTGCCTCCATGGATATACCTCCCCAGACCATCACTGACCCACCTCCAAAATGGTCATTTTGAATGATGTTACAGGCAGTAAATTATTCTGCATGGCTTCTCCAGATCCTTTCACATCTGTCACATATGCTCAGGGTGAACCTGCTCTCATCTGTGAAAAGCACAGGGCACTAGTGGTGGACCTGCCAATTCTGGTGTTCAATGGCAAATGCCAATCAAGTTCTATGGTGCCGGGCAGTGAGCACAGGGCCCACTAGAGGACGTCGGGCCCTCAGGCCACTCTCATGAAGTCTGTTTCTGATTGTTTGGTCAGAGACATTCACACCAGTGGCCTGCTGGAGGTCATTTTGTAGGGCTCTGGAAGTACTCATCCTGTTCCTCCTTGCACAAAGGAGCAGATAGTGGTCCTGCTGATAGGATAAAGACCTTCTACAGCCCTTTCCAGCTCTCCTAGAGTAACTGCCTGTCTCCTGGAATCTCCTCAATGCTCTTGAGACTGTGCTGGCAGAAACAGCAAGCCTTCTGGCAATGGCACGTATTGATGTGCCATCCTGCAGGAGTTGGACTGCCAGTGCAACCTCTGTAGGGTCCAGGTATCGCCTCATGCTATCAGTAGTAACACTGACCCTAGCCAAATGCAAAACTAGTGAAAACAGGCAGAAAAGATGAGTAGGAAAAAAATGTCAGTGTCCTTCACCTGCAAAATCATTCCTGTTTTGGGGGTCATCTCATTGTTGCCCATCTAGGGCAACTGTTTCATTATCACCAAAGCAGCTGAAACTGATTACAACCCCCTCTGCTACTTAACTGACCAGATCAATATCCCAGGAGCTTAATTGACTGGATGCTATACTCTGATTAAAAAGTGTTCCTTTAATTTTTTTGAGCAGTGTATTTCCTGCAATGGACAATTTATATGCACATATAGGGAGGTAAGCCTGTGTGAGGAAGCCCTGGCATAAAGTGCCTGCAATGTCAACATTGGCCAGTAAAAGAAACAATGTTAATTTTTGTGGAACATGGAGCAAATATTTTGGTGAGTGCCTATCTGCTTTGAGTCACCTCAGTTTAACCCAGCCATCATACTCCACTCAGCTAGTATCACTCACAGTGTTTCAGGAGCACTCAAAAAGTTGCTGCAGTTCTTGTGTATAAGACCATATGATGGACACTGCTGATTATAAACAACAAGCAAAAGTTGGGTTTGTATGAGTGGATTGAAGCTAAATGCAGACCATGCTGCATTTGTAGCATGTTTAAGGGAAATTACAGAAAGTGGTTTTCTTTCCAACATGCAAACAACAGAACCCTGCCAACAAGCTGGCAATGCACAAAAGCTCCTGATCCTCCGCTAGAAATGGTTACCATCAGTAGATCACTTATTCATCTGATATGCATGCGCATTGGACATGTCAGTGCATGCAATGCAAAGTGCTTTGGTATCAGAAAGAATTTCCAATTTGTAGCATTGTGTAACCAATGGCTGGCACTGGTTTGATGATCTTCATTTTACACTTGGTCAGGTTGCCACATGTTCTGAATCTGTAGCACTTACTCATGGGAACTTGAGCCTACAATGCAAGCTGTTTTACAAAAGGGTTACTGATAGAATTCACATATACCTGTGTAAACATTGTACCTTTGGACTTTGCACTTCCAGGTGACTTTTTATTGATACAGAACGTGATCTTTCAATTGTGCCTGTGATGAAGGGACTGCATTTACCATGATAAGCTGTGATACTATCTGACCTAAATACACTTTTTTGTATAAGCCTTTTTTGTACAACCTTCATTTTTTTGTTTGGCAAATTGTGGTCAAGCAGGTTAAACACTCTTCCAAAAGTCACAATGGAGCAGGTCAAGTTACAAGTTGAAATTGATTGAGGACTTAAACATTTTACTTTTTGTTCATTATAAAAGAAGAACTCAATTTATTTCAAAACCATCATTTTAAATTCATGTAAGCAATTTCCTACCTTCCATAAGAAAATTGACAGCTTTAGGGCCATGTCCCACTAGTGATCCTGTCACTGATTGAAATCCACCACCACTGAGATCTCTAAAGTGACTATTCACCTGTTCCTATGGCGTCACTCCCTAGCTAGCCAAAACGCAGTGGATCCTCAATTGCCAGTGAGGGAAAAGCAATAAAGTGACACCATGCTGGTTCATGTTTATATCAGATATATTACCACAGCTAAATCAGAAGGAAAGGTTCTTTGCACAGGGCTAACATTTTGGTTGTACAACCTTTACCGCTGTACAAGGAATAATCAGTGAGAAAGAGAAGCAGTCGCAATATGAGGTAGGGTGGAGGGTGACCCTGGCTGGTAGGAAGTCCTTCTGTTACAGCTTACTATAGGCAATCAGAAATGTACTTCTGGCTACTAGTTCATTGTGGTTGTTTGGCAACTTTAGGGATTGCACATAATCTATTATCAAAAAGCCTATGTCAGCCACAATACTAACAGATAGGAGAGACAACTTTGGCATGAACACCTTTGTGTCCAATGTCTTATCTGAGCCCTGTGATAAATAAGCTGTTAGCTTTAGTATACATATGATTGACTTTAGCCCACTGTATAAATGCATATGTGTCATAATTTATTGCTCACTGTGTTTACTTACTGTAAGATGACTTGAATTTTAAGTCATTATTTGATTTCTTAATATAACACCAACAAAGTAAGGAACATAAACCCCTATGTCATCAACATTTAAATCATTATGTAATTTAGTTTAAATAGCAAAACACTACAAAGTTAATATTTACCTGGGTGCTAACAGAACGGGAACCATCTGTGACCTGCACGGTTAGGTTATAAAATGCTCTCTTGCTTGCTTGCAAAGGTCGAGCTATGACCAAACCACTGGTGGTCTTGTCGATGTCAAAATCCAACTCATCATTTCCACCTTTGGAAGAGACAGAATTACACTGATAGACACTAAACCAAATGTTATATACAGTTTAAGGTTTACTCTGGACACCCTATAATGACTTTAGGACTTTGGTGCTCTTTAGAATGCTTTTTTATTTCCAATCTCCAATGGCCTGGGCTCTTGTTTGGTAATATCTGGTCATTTTTCGATGTCATCAGAATACATCTTTGTCACAAGGTCAGGTCTAATGTAATAAGACTAACCCTAGACACAAGACACAAGATAGTTGTTTGCTAAAACTAGCCACACATGGCAACTTTCAGGCAAATTTAATAATTTTGATCAACCAGAAATAAAACATGCAATCCAAAGTGGTTGAAAGTAGTTGCCTGAAAAGATGCAAAGAAAGGGAAAAAAAAAAAAACATTTCCTTCTGTATCTGGTGTATCTGTATGCTGGCTGAGATCTGTGGCTGTCCTAAATGTACCCAGAAACTGGGGAAATAATAATTTTTACATGCCAATTAACTGAAATGTAATCAATAAATACATGTACAGTAGAGGGTTTTGTAACATCCAGTCACACACACGTACGAAGTATGATATTAGTGGAAATGTCTCCTATCTCCTCCATGCTGTGAACATGTACATTTCAACAAACGATTGGACATTGTTTGCAGAAAAATATTCCAATTGTTCTGATTAATCATATGTCTTATTCTCTTGTTCTGATGTTATTTTTGGATGCATAGAAAAGCACAAATAGTAGTCCAAAAAGTCAGAATTGATTGTACTGAAACATCATTTTTTTCTGTTTATTGATACTGTATGTCTAAAAATATTTGAATACGCTAGGCAAACTTTTGCTTCAGGATTCTTATGATACATTACTATTATACTATTTTCTTTCAAAGAATATGAAGAAAATGTAAAAACAAAACCACTAGTTAATGGATGAAGAGCTAAACTGAAACTTACCTGTGATGTCAAACCAGCACTGACTGTACAGTTCTGTACTTAATAGTCCCAGCATGTGGTTCACCGGGTCAGTTTCCATAACTTGAAAGGTAAAGAGTGGCTCATCAAAATGTTAATGGCTCATCTGGGGGTGCAGGGTTGTGGATCCATTGGATGTGCAGCCTCACAGTGGAAGAACGAGAAGGGTTTCCACCATCTGTAGCCCTGACCTGCAGTCACAGGGTACATTAAATTACTATAATCACACATGCTTCTCTGTTTTGTGCTAAGATGACAAGCTTCTAAGACAAGAATGATCACTATATCTATACTAACACTGATGATAATTTCTAGCATCCTCCTCACTTACTGTTAATATGGTGTAGTTCCCTGCTGGAAATGCTGCTGTGGAAGAGATGACACCAGTTGTGGGATCAATTGTGAAGACAGCTGTCTCCTGTTCAGTAATACTATATGTCACTTGGCCATTTATTCCTTTGTCTCTATCCATTGCTATGAGCCTGTATATTGGAGCAGGTTCAAGGGATTCAGCACGTTCTGGGAGCTGGGCGGTGAAGAGTTTCTGGGAGAATGTAGGAGTATTGTCATTCACATCCAACACCTGTATGACAACTCGAGAGAGGTGGACTGCAGAGGAGGGGTGCCATTATCGGACACTATCACCTGTAGAAGAAACAGCAGGTAGAGTGATAAGGAATGTTCTTTCACAATGGTTTCCTTAGCAATAGAAACACTCTAGGCTGAAAACTTTTTCAGTTGAAGGACTCTTTATCAGGACACTGCTGAAAAGGCAGTACAGCCAGCCCTTCTGTTCCGGGCCAAGGCCCTATCAGTTCAACCCTTTTTAGCAGGAACCCAGGTACCTGCTAAGCAGGAGGGACAGCTCTACAGCCTCATTACCGACACGGATCCCCTTGTGCCACCCTCTGCAGAGCTGCCGGCTCCTCCTCCTCTCCCTCCCTTTGGCTGATGAATAACACTGTACAGGACACAGTGCCCATGTGAATGAGCCCCGATATCTCATTCAAACACAGATTTAGCAGGATGTTCAGTTCATGGTCTTTTTTTATTTCATTTGAATGTTTTGAAGTTTTATAATCTTGACATCTTTTTGTAACTAATAATTGTTATCCAATCACCAAGTACCAAGTTACATTCATTTGGCTCAAGAGGAAACTCCACCTTTATGAAGCTCTCATTTAAGGTTACAATACCCACATTACCAACCTTCTAGCTTCAGAAGTCAGTCTAAACTGCCTCTTCTTATCAACATGACTCATGGCTCAACATGCCTAATGGTGAACAGACCTCTTTGAGCTTGGTAATATGTTGGTGATGCCAAAGAGAAGATGTTGCTTTGATGGGCATTCATAGATAGCTGAACACCACAACCCCTCAACCTACTGAATAGAGATTTACAGGAAAAGCATTCTCTCTGGATTGCATTGGGGAGTGTATATACGAGGGGCGTTCAAGTCAAACCAGGACTTTTGAGTTTTTATAACAAAAGAACAAATTTCAAGGAGTGGAAACTGCATTTATTTTTCAACATACTCCCTGCTACATTTATACACTACTTATCCCACAATTTAACTAATGCTTAGAAAGCTTCAGCATAAAAAGATTTGTCAGTATTCCTGAACCATCCTAGGACAGCCTGCTTCACTTTGTCATCTGAAATGTTGACCTCCTAGGAGCTCTTTTACGGGTCCAAACAGGCAAAAATCATGCAGAGCGAGGTCCGGGCTGTAAGGGGGATGTGGCAATACCTCCCAGCCAAGTTGCTGTAATGTGCATGTAGTGTGGTGAGCAGTATGAGCTCATGCATTGTCCTAGAGAAGCAGGACGCCCTTAGTGATCAAACCATGCTTCCCTGTCAAAATGCTCCTTCAATGCAGTACAGACTTCATTTCTTCTGTGCCATTCAAAGGCGGAAAGCTGTCTTGGTACCCACTATGCACTAACGTTTTGAAAATGCAAATGTTCATGAATAATTTTTTTCACCGTTTCCACAGGAATTTTGTCTCTCTCGGGCGATTTCATGACAGGTTATGCATCGATTATCCAGGGTCAGACATTCCACATACTGAATGTTCACAGCTATGACTGCTGTGGGCTGGAAACCATCTTGGCTGGGATCGTCACTGATGTTAGTGCGACCATCTTTGAAATGTTTACACCATTCAAATGTCTTACTGCGGCTGAGCGTCTCATCACCGTACTGTGCTTGAGGTCTTCTGTAGATATCCATGGGTTTTACACCTTCATTCACAATTCATGATCTCTGTACTGGCCCGCAACATGTGCGCCATCTATCAGTAATAGGACACACTTGCCACTTACTACTGCATGTAGTACCGCTACACTAGCATCCCTTTATATACCTGTAAATTTAAAAGTCCCAGTTTGACCTGAACGCTCCTCGTATAATACGACCAATAAAGTGTATGTATAGGCAAAACTCTTTTTGTAGCTTTGGACTTCATAGAGAAATATAAGAATACCAGAAATATAAGAATACCTATCAACTTCACTTCAACTCTCTTAAAATGTAAATACAAATTAAGTCTTAGATATTACCTAAACATTTGAGAATTTTACTGCATCAAATTATCTCTCTTTTTCAGCTACCACAGTACATACCTCTAGAATGTGTTCCTCTTTGTTTTCCCGATCTACCTGTTTCTCAGTTGTAGAAATTAAACCTACACAGGGAAACACAACTTTACTTGTTGATGATCAATACCTATGCCACAGAACTTTATCTTTCATCCAAATTGATCACATAACATAACCTAAATGAAATACAAGAAATTTAACTTTTTTTGTGAAAAAGGTACTTTTTATAAGACCTACGGTGCATTCATAGAGTATTTAGATTCCCTTCACTTTTTTTGACATTGTTATGTTGCAGCCTGATACTACAGTTGTTTAAAGTGGTTCTAAAGGCTGAATGTTTTTTACCTTCATGCATTCTATGAATGAAGGTAAAAAAACCTGTGTGCAGCATCCCCCCAGCCCTCCCAATTCTTACCTGAGCCCCCTCTCAACCCAGAGATGTCTTTGAGAACCTTGGCTCTTCGGGCACTCTCTCTCCAGATTGGCCGTTGGCTCCCGCTTCTGTAATTCGCAGCCACTGAACCAATCAGGAGAGGGAGGGGGTGGGGCCAAGCAGGAGCTCTATGTGTGAATGGACACGCAGAGCCATGGCTCAGGAGCGCTCCTGCTTGGGTGTCCCAGAGCAAGCTGTGGGTCACTACATATTGGGGTATGAAGAGTTGGAGCTGAAAGAGACATCACAGTGCAGTACTAAATGTGGCTGCTATAGCCAACAGAAGTCTATGGTCAGCTAATGCAGCCTGTTGGTAGCATCTACCTGTTATATTGTTTTACGTGGTCTGTTTCCCATAGAGATCACCATCCTGTACAGAGGTACGGATGTTCAAGAGTCACATTCACGTGTGGAGCCCATGCCAGCTGCACTGCTACTGGGAAAGGTAAAGGAAAATGCTGGACAGGTAGTTGTGGACAAGGCTCATCATGTCCCCCCAATGGCAAATTACATTGGGAAGATGTAAATTTACACGGGGAGCCGAGAATTAATTGGAGGACAGTTATGGTGCAAGTGTACATAGTGTACGTTGGTGTACGTTCATCTCTAAAAGTAGAGGACCACCTCAAGGTCAAGTACTCACCCAAGGCAGCCTTAGCCTTGTCGCAGAGCATTGATGATAAGATAATAATTGCACAAGAGTAAGGGTATCATATATGTGTGAAGTAGAGTGATCCTGTTATAGATGCCTAGCATAACCCAGAAGAACCCACCCCATGGATAGTCCTCTCATGTCACCCAAACTTGGCACCCAACAAGTTAATGGGAAAACATGGAGAAAAGGTACAATATCAGCCACCAATCCTGCCCCTCCCCTTCCCCCCCACGCTTACATGTTTCTTGCTTCTACAGCCTGTTAGAATTTATATGGTAATTCAATAAAGAAATCAGTGGGAATGCGAGTAAGCTCTCATTCTGAACGTACAACAGTGCCACGATGTGCCTCTACATGCCCATATAAGCTGCTCCCATGAGAGCTTCAGAAAAGAAGGCCAAAGGCTTTATTCTTCAGTAAGGAAGTCATGGTTATAAGTAAAATAATTGTTATCAATCAAATGGTTCAGTACATACACCAGCTGCATCAATTACATTATGCTTCTTATTAAAGGGCCGACTTTGGCATTACATTTCAGGCAAAAAAGAAGTCCAGTTTAACCTTAGTTTATACCTTTCATAAGGGAATTATACAGAATGCCATCCTTTTGAGAATGTTAGTACCCAGGTTGTCATGTTAATACTTTGATTTCAGTTCTGTGTCACTGACCTGAAAATACACTATATTGCCAAAAGTATTGGGACGCCTGCCTTTATGTGCACATGAACTTTAATCCCAGTCTTACTCTGTAGGGTTCAATATTGAGTTGGCCCACTCTTTTCATCTATAACATCTTCAACTCTTCTGGGAAGGCTGTCCACAAGATTTAGGAGTGTGTCTATGGGAATGTTTGACCATTCTTCCAGATGTGCATTTGTGAGGTCAGGTACTGATGTCGGACAAGAAGGCCTGGATCGCAGTCTCCTATCTAATTCATCCAGTGGACCTTGCTTTCTGCAGTGGTGCGCAGTCATGTTGGAATAGAAAGGGGCCATCCCCAAACTGTTCCCACAAATTGAAACTGTCCAGAATGTCTTGGTATGCTGATACGTTAAGAGTTCCCTTCACTGGACTAAGGGGCCAAGCCCAACCCCTGAAAAACAAACAACACACCATAATCCTCCTCCACCAAACTTTACACTATGCATGATGTAGTCAGACAAGTACCATTCTCCTGGCAACCACCAAATCCAGACATATCCATCGGATTGCCAGACAGAGAAGCATGATTCGCCACTCCGGAGAACACATCTTCACTGCTCTAGAGTCCAGTGGTGGTGTGCTTGACACCACTGCATCCAGCGCTTTGCATTACACTTGGTGATGTACGGCTTGGATGCAGCTGCTTGGCCATGGAAACCCATTCTATTAAGGTCTCTATGCACTGTTGATGCGCTAAAATGAAGGCTACACAAAGTTTGGAGGTCTTTAGCTATTGCCTCCTCAAACAGTTGGCGACTTCTGCGCACTGACCCCGCTCTGTAATTTTACATGGCCTACCACTTCGTGGCTGAGTTACAGTTGTTGCTTCCACTTTGTTATAATACCACTAACAGTTGACTGTGGAATATTTAGTAACAAGGAAATTTCATGGATGGACTTATTGCACAGGTGGCAACCTATCATGGTACCATGCTTGAATTCACTGAGCTCCTGAGAGCGGCTATTCTTTCACAAATGTGTGTAGAAGCAATATGCATGCCTAGGTTCTTGATTTTATACACCTGTGGCCATAGAGGTGATTGGAACACCTGAATCCTATGATTTGGAGGGATGTCCCAATACTGTTGGCAATATAGTGTATATAAAGATAAGGAGTTCTGGCACTTCTCTAAAACTCATGCACTCTGAAAATCATGTGCATGCATCTAGTGCCCACCCTGGCCCACTTGTGAATATCATTCCTTATGGACAATATTTACATTTAAAAATAAACTGTACAAGGGAACAAGATTTCCTGAATTGTGTAATCAATTTCTCAGTAGAGGGTACACTAAGAAATGTTTTTAAAAAGGCATTCCAAAAAACCAAGGAATAGGACCAGGGAGTCTTTATTCCATTCTCAGAAACAAAAATCCACTCCTCAACAAACATGAATAATCACCTGGTTTTCCCAAGAGCATGCTGCATTGCAAAAAAGTGACACTGTCATCTATTGGTGGAAGATAGTAGCCATATATGTGGGGCCTAGACCAGATATTACATATAGGAGGGCCTGATTACTGAGGGATCATCTGACATACAACCATCTTTCTAAGACCCATAGACCCTAGCCTCAAAAGCCCCAGGATTTAAGGTGTTACTAAACCCACAACAGTAAAATCAATCTGTATATGCAGTAAAGCATGCTTGTTATACTCACTGTGGAACATAAGGGGTTAATCCTCTGCATTGTTTAAAAAGGATGTTTGATCCTGATTTCTCTTATCCCCCCTTCTTGCACTGCCCCCTGATAGAATAGAGCCTTTGGGGCAAGCTGCACATGCACAGTTTGATGTATATTGCTACAGAGTTTTTTTTTTTTTTTCTTGGGAGAGTGCATGTGATCAGCACAGGGCCAATCAGCACTGTCCAGACAGAGGGTCAGGGGTCCTGCAGTCTCACAGAACAGTGAGGGGAGAATGAAAATTCCTTGTACAAGCTTTAACCAGTGCTCTGCTTGACACTGATAGAAGTCACAAGACTGCTCTAACTGCTGATGAGAAAAGGTATTTAGCTGTTTATATTTACTAAAATAATTGCATTTCCATGCTCTGTGTACTGTGGGAGACTGGATATAGTGAATGCAGGCTCATGGGTTTAGTAACACTTTAATGAGCTTATCATTTTCAACCCCCTGTTCCTTTCATTTTGCTTTTTTATTTATGGCTTTTTTAGAATTTTTAATTGGTTTGTTATGTTGCTTATTGGTTCAGTCTTATTCAATAGTAAAGTCTTATTTTCATTTTCTTTTCATTCAGGGGACAGTGGTGATGTGGGTGGGGTGTGATTCTTGTTGGGGCATGGCAGATGGCCATGGTCCTTCTCCCTTGTGTTTGGTATATTGTTGGCAGTAAGGGTGGAAGTGGTCACACCACACTAGTGGGTGACCTAATTTCCACCTGCCTCACACTGCCTGTATCAGTCCGGGAGACCAAGGTGACTTGTGTGACAGTTGGTGCCTCCCTGACACCACTGAGCATTCATGGCTACAGCAGGGCTGTGCATGCCCAGTTCCATACCCACCCACAGCTCATAGACACCATATGTCAGTGGGCATAGGGGTGGAGCCAATCCATGGGTGACATTTTGGTGCCTTTACTGTATATATAGCGGAATTCGGCTTCCCCTTTCTACCCGCTGGCTTGTTTACAGCAGGGAGATTTTTGGCACATATCCTCTAAGGTAATTCATCTGCAGAGACATTTCTTTTGATTTTTGATTTCTTTTTTGGAGCACTGTGATCTGGCTTTGTCCCAAGCAACTATATCAAACAATGTAAAATTTTCCCACAGCACGGCATTGGGAGGCGATATCAGGGATACCGTCATCCACCTAAGGCATTCATTAGTGATACAGTTTGTCTCCACATATAAGGGTAGGTGTTATTTGAGCTTCCCATATATTTTTAGTGGCATTGAGTTAAATGAGGGATTTCCCTTGATTGTATACCTACAAAGTATTCATGACTCAATATTTATGCTGTGGTTATATGCAACTGGTCTCTAGTTTTGAGCTCCTTGCTATCTACTCAATTCTTTCCTGATCTATGAACTGTAGCCTCTGGGGTGTCCTTGCCACTTTTGGCCAGTATGCAGCATCATTCTTAAACACACTCTATTCTATATGAGATGTGAGTATATAATTGATATTTTAGTATTATTGATTAATAAGAAACTCATGATATGCTTTGAATGTATGTTTCCTCCAGTACCCTATGGTCCTTTGAGGAAAAGACATATTGTGAAATGTGTTGGAACCTTCAGAACCTTTCTGCACATTTGACAGATGCAGAACCAC